GGCCTTTGGGAGATGCTTAGATCATGAGGGATTAGTGCCTTTATTAAAAGGCCTTAGAGAGGTTCCCTGTCCCTTTGCCATATGAGGATACAAATCTGCAACCTGGAAGAGCACCCTGACCTGACTATGCCAGCATCCTGATCTTGGACTTCCAGCCTCCAGAACCATGAGAAATAAATTTGGTGGTTTATAAGCCATACAGTCTGTGATATTTTGTTCCACTAACCTAAATGGACTAAGACAAATGTCTTGTTCCTCACTGACACTTGTAGGTCATTTCCTCTCTCTCCTTCTTAAACATAACCAGTTCTGAATCTCTTCATCAAATTCTACTAACTACTATTTCTTTTTTGTCATAATTATCTACTTATTCTCAAATCAGTTATGCTCATTCCTAGAAGATTTCATTTCTAGATCATGATCTCTATTCCCAATACTATTATCATAATTCCTGGTGAGTAAAAATAAGTGTTGATATATTCTGCCATATCTCCCTTTTCTAGAGGAGAAATATCCCTATCATAAAAACAGGCCAACCCTTCACTTGTGAATTAGGTGCCATTATCTCTCACCTACCCAAAGACATCATGCTAACTCTTCTTATGCATTACCAATTTTTCTTTTTCTCTTGGATCTTTCTCACCAGGACTAAAGCATGCTTGTTAATTTTCCCCATCTTAAAAGTCCCTGTATTCACACCCTTTCTCTTAAAACGAGGTCACACTTTTGATAGATTAAATATCCAACTTAGGAAATTAGAAAAAGAATAAAAGAAAAATCCCAATAAGAGTATGGAGAAGAAATTGTGAATATAAAAACATAAAATATAAAACACATTAGAAAACAAAGAAACAATTGAGCAGAACAAAAAGCCAAAAATTGGTTCTTTCAGAATATCAGTATGACTGATAAACTTCTGGCAAGATTGACCAAAAAAAAAAAAGGGTTACAAACAGCCATATTAGCAATGAAAAGGAACAATAATAGCATTTGCTGCAGATAACTAAGAAAATAATATTGAAAAAACTAAATGACAATATGATGAAATGTAAAAAAAAAAATCCTAGAAAAGGTAAAGCTAAATCTGACTAAAGAGAAATAGAAAACTTGAATAGCCCTATAAATATTAAAGAATGTTAATATATATTTTCAAGTCTCCCCATGAAAAAATCCACCAGACCTATATAATATCAACAGGTGAAATTCTATAAAACACTCTAGGAAAATGTAATTCAAATCTTATATAAAATCTCCCCCCAAATAACACATTATGAGGAAGACTACCCTGCTTATTCTTTGGAGAAATAATAGCCTTCTTAACAAAAATGTGACAAGGATAGCTCGAGATAATTATAGGCCAGTCTTATTCATGAACACAGATGTGAAATATGTAAACTAAATAAGCAAATTTAATTCACAATGCTTAAGATAACTCAAGGTATATGTTTCAGAAATGCAAAATTGCCTTAAGATTTAAAAAGTTATGTAGCTGGAAAGGAACTCCAATAAAAATTATAAGTGGTTTTATTTGTGGAACTTAGAAAACAGATCCTAATCTATCCTATATGATAAAAGAAACATGTAAATTGACCATCCCTCAGCTATGCTCACCAGCCAATCAAGAGTGAGTATACAAATTAACCTGACAAAGATGGTGGGTTAATTTGCATACACAGGTGTCAAGCGCCCCGGGAGGCAACTGCGGCCGTGGGCTCCTGGGACCTTTGTCGGCCCCGAGAGGTGAGGCTGGCAGTGCCTAGCCATGCCCGCTGGCTCCCAGGACCTTTGCTGGTGGAGAGCAGAGTGGGAGAATGGGAGGTTTGGAGGACTTGGCAGAGCAGGAGACCACTGGACCTAGAGTAACGTGCATCTGATCTTGAAAGAAGGCGATGTCTGCAACAGAATGTATCTGAAGAGCAGCTACTGGAAAAACGTCACTCTGATGCTGAAGGACTGAGGTGTCATCGACAGAAAATATCTAAAGACCAACGTGCCTTTGAAAGGGAAAGGAGGCGGTGGCAATGACAAAATATGTCTAGAGAACAGTCAACAAGTACTACCAATACTGGTAGGAACTGCCTTTTCAGCAAAAATGAAGTCCATGAGGATGCAATCCTCGAACATAGTTGTGGTGGAATGACGGTTCGATGTGAATTTTGCCTATCCCTAAATTTCTCCGATGAAAAACCATCCGATGGGAAATTTACTCAATGTTATAGCAAAGGAAAAGTCTGTCCAAATGATATACATTTTCCAGATTACCCGGCATATTTAAAAAGATTAATGACAAACGAAGATTTTGACAGTAAAAATTTCACGGAAAATATTCGTTCCATAAATAGTTCTTTTGCTTTTGCTTCCACAGGTGCTAATATTGCATTGCTATCAGGATGTGG